CCCATAAATAATGAAAGGTAAGGTTTTGGGTCAACTCCGGCAAAAAGAGAGAGGAAAGTAGATTAAGGCTTAATTCAAAATTTAGCCTATTAATTATCAGCTTGATTTCATTTTAGTCTAGAAAGTATGTTTTATTTCTAAGTAGTCTATAAACTTTGGAAAATATTTCAAAATGGTCTACCATACAAGATTTTCGTTAGTTTTAATGAAAGAATCAACTTAGAATTAAAATATAACAGTTTTTAAAATTTTAAAAAGTGACACTATAATCTCAATAAAATATAATGAATCAAGAAATACTCTATAGAGATAGATTAGTTAGAATTTATAATGAAATTGAGCAACTAGCTCAATTTGAAGAGAGAAACCTGGCAAACTTAAAACAAGAAGCTTTAGAAGTAAGTATTGAAAATACAATAAGAGTTACAACTCCTAATTACAAAATAAGAACAAAAAGAAAAAGAATAAATACATTAAAAATATTATTAATACACTTATATTAGCATGAGTAATGAACAAATAGATCAAATTAGCAGGTATTTACTCAATACATTAGGAAAAGGTGTAATAGATATAGAAGATACAGTTATCATATATAAAATTTTAAAAATAGAAATAATTAATGAAAATACCCTAAGAAGAATTAAAGAAATAGGAAAATCTCTTTTTCAAGAATTTGATTCTATTAAAGAAAGAATAAATAAATAATGTAAAAAATTCTAGAAATTTGAAAGAAATAGAAGAAGAAATAAAATCTATTAAAAACTCAAAGACTCTGATATATTTAATAAGAGAGATAGAAATCAAAATAGAAAATTGTTTTTAAGATATTAACAGCAATCGCTGAAAAATTTGCGATAAAAGCTTAAAGATGTATAACAGAATAATTCCACAACTAAAAAGTGATATAGATAAAAAATTTTATAAGATTCAGACACAACTCAAGGATCTACAAGATACTATAGTATTAGTCTGTTGTAGGCAAAATATTGTAGATGAAAATGAAGGATTTAAAATAATCCCAAAGATTTTCATGAAAAAGCTTAAATCAAAAGGAATAACACTTTTCATGTTAAAAACCCAAGAAGAAAAGTTGAAAGAACTTGAACAAAAATTCTTAGAAGAAAAAAATGTAAAAGAACTAGATAATCTATGCAAACAAATTACTATAACTACTAAACAAGTAGAAAATATAAAAATGAATACCCAAAAGAGGAAATAGAAAAGGAAAGTGAAGAAGAGAAGGATGAGACACATCCTAATATAACCCCAACAGAATTTCCAGTGCCACCTGGAGTAGAATCAAACATAAGCCAAAGCTATAGAAAAAATAGAAATCTAACACATGGAGTGATATATGATAAAAAGACTAAAAGATTTGGGAATCAATCTAGACTTGAAACATCAGTTAGAATCAAATAACAGATAATTAATACTAATGGTATTTGGCTAGATATAGATTGTGTTCCTGACCTAGAGAAGGTCATTAGTGACTGGGCCCAAGCTGCTTGGATAGCCATAGTAAACAAAAATTAGAATGCCTTACAAGTAGTTAGATTTATTGAAGTCACCTTTAAAGGGATGGTTCACGACTAGTTTGCTGGTATAAATGAAGAAGACAGTAATATTACTATAACTGGAAATCCAGCTTCAGAAGAAGTTAATGAAAACGAAGCAATTCAAGACATAATATATAGGTTCAAATCAGCCATTAGGAGAGAATTCTTAAGAGAAAATTGGGAAGAAAATCAAGGAAAAAAGGAGGCCAGAATTGGAAGAGTAGCAGTATGGAATTTGTAAAATTTAGAATTATGTAGTCTCTGTGAATTAGATCAATACATTTGCCTATTTGAGAAATATTATTATAAAACTTCAAATCATGGAATGACTAAAGGCCTAATGGAATTGTTTTTTTGGAAAAATTCCTAATCCTTGGGAAATAAAATTGGCAAAAACCTATAAAATATATGTAAAAGGTAAGAAAGATACTTTAGGATTAAGGATTTGGTTCGCTAAAACCAAATTTAATAAATGGTGCCTAGAAACCTATAGCCAAAACAAACTAAGAAAAAGTATGAAAAAGGGACTATGTTGCCCTAAGAATAGTGATTCAATCAAGCTAGGATGTAGTTACACCAACTACAACAAGAGAAACAAGAAATTTAGAATTAAAAGAAGTAATAAACAAAAGTTTAATAAGAGCAAATTTTCTAGAAAGAAAATGAGGTATTTTAAGAAAACCAAAACATCAAAAAAGTATAAAAAGAATCCAAAGAAATGCACATGCTGGTTGTGTAAAAAAGAAAGGCATTATGCAAATGAATGTCCTAAAAGATATAAAAAGGAAAGTACTAAAAACCTAAAAATGTTTGAAGAAAAATTAAGTAAAATAGATACTAGATTTATAAGTAGCAAAGAAAGTATATATGAAGTGGAAAGTTTATATACCTCTAGTAGTGATGAATTAGAATATTGAAGAAGGAGAAGCTTATTTTGAAGAATATGAAGGACATGGAGAATATAGTCAAATAACTATATTCAATAAAAGTAAATATAAAATAATTAGACAAAAGAGAATGGACCTTGCTTTAGAAAATGGATTCAAACCAAATTCTTTTACAAGTAATCCTTTTAAGAGAAAAGATATAGTTTATTATGGAATATCCACTAAGGAATGTAGCATTCCTATCAAGAATATAATAGGATTAATAAATATACCTTTGATTATCAAGGCAGATATAAAAAGCAAACTGTCAAAAATCAAAGAAATTGATAGATCAAAGATAGGTTTTATCCACATTAGAGGAATGCAAATAGTCATTAAAGTTCATTTTAGGGAAGGAATAGACACCCCAATAAAATTAGCTTTAATAGATAATAAAATCAATGATAGAAAGGATGCTATCCTTAGATTAGTGCAAGGTAACCTTAGTTACCAAAAACTTATGTTTACAGTATATCCAAAATACACTGTTAACATTAATGATAGAAA